TTGGCGATAAGGGCAGCTAGCCTTCGGTTGTTGCGAGCAGCGTATGGGGGTCGTAATGCCATCTACGAGAAACACGCATATGGACTTGTGAGTTATTTGTAAATTGATTATGGAAATAAAGTTTTTAGACATTGTTGGGTAAAATAATTTAAAACACTTGTTGGGCCATGGTTAGGAGTGTTGGGCACCTTTTGGGCTTTCCATGGTTACTAAATGTGAAACATGTAGCACTTGCGTGGGCCCCCACAAAACTAAGTTTTCACATGTCTTTCCCACTTCTAGGCCCATTAGGGAACTTAATAGTCCAATGAGTTGGCCATTTTGGAGTGTATCCTTTCGGATACGTTTGATAAGGTCGGGTATTTTGATGGCTCAAAAGTAATGTGAATGACGCGCTTTGGCCTATAGGTTTGGGAACTCTCGCCTTTGGTCCCCAGGTAAGCAAATTGGTCCCTCGGTTGATTGGGATGTATACGAATGCTTACCTAGTCAGGACTTTCGGGCTACCGGCACCTCCCCCTTCCAGTTACTACGCGTCCATTACTATGATCCTACCCAACTAGAGTGGATGGCTTTGAATTTTCTATGAGCTCTAAGGAATATATACGTATATACAAAACTACTTGAATATGTGTATGATTTTCAGAGAAAGAGGAGAATATTCACAAGTGTATGCACACATATAAGTGTCAGGAGTAATACGTATGCACATAAGGGAGCAATTAACACACAAAGGCATTCCTAGAATTTTCTAAGTGCGAATTGCATACAGTTGTGTGTGCATTTTATAAACTAACATACGAGAGGTCCCTAGAGGCTATAGACTAGGTCAAGGCAATTAACCTAATTCCCTATAGTCAAGGGCTCGGATACCAATCTGTCACACCCCGATCCTTGTCGGAATCGATCAAGGCGTGATATATTGTTCAAAGTCTCATGACAACTATGTTATAATATGATTAGATTCAATTAAGTACTAAGTATGCAAACAAGATCCACCACATACAAATACAAATCCAAATACGAACAACATTTATTACATCAAATTTAAATAGTCTTGTGGATTTCTAAGGCACAACCTATTTTTCATCAACTTCATTCTTCAAATCTGCATCATGGGTAAAAACAAGCCAACTACGAGAGTGGGTGAGTAATCTAATTTTAGTAGAGAAAATTGTGAAGTTGAAACATTTATAATTTAAAATTTGTTTTCTTTTGAAGTCGGCAAACAATTGTATTTGAGATAACGGTTTATAAATCAAAAATTGATTAACAAATGATAACAACAACAACAATAAGTCCTCACCCTATATATACATATGCATATATATAAAAATATATATAGGATGGAGCATCTAATCATCATACACACTCAACCACGTGCGATCAATCACCTTAGCGTCCCAAGGCGGGGTGGTCAACCCAATAGCGCTATTATTGTCCATAACGTACCTCAAGAATACGGGCATAGTCATGGAGATTAGACTAAAAATGGTAATGCACTACAAGTACATGTAGCGTAAACAAACAGTAGTTATACAATTAATGACTCACGTATAAATGTCTCAACAATGTCTCAATTGTGATAAAACAATAAAATGAAGTTGGAACATATTAGCACCACATGATACACCCCAAAAGTATTGAAAATTATAAAATATGGGGAAGATTACTCACTTTAGTCCCAAAACGAATGCGTGTGTCGTACGATAGACGGTTCGGGTCAAAATGGCGTAGAACCTAATATAATTAATAGTTTTGGTTTAGGAACTGCTAAACGAGAATGGAGTATTAATACAAATAATTAGACACATATTCTTATATTAGATGAATTAACAATAATTCATTTTGATTATAATATTAAGGTATTCATTTGTTAAATGAATTTTAAATTGAATTAATTACTTTGCATAATTAATTTATATTTTCAATTTATGCCAGATTTTAATAATTTCTTATTAAAATAATAACTTGCCCAATTATAATTATTTATAGATTTTAACAATTATTTATATGAAATAATCATTAAAATGCATTTTTACATGCTTAAATACTTAGGAAAATGGTTTTAAATAGTAAACAGCCTTGAAAAATTATGAAATTATTAGAAAATCATTATTTCATACAATATTAATTACTGTAAAATTTTTATATTTTTCTGAACTGTTTTAGTATTTATTAATACTTTAATGATTAAACAACAACAAAAATCGGGAAAATAGTAAATGATTCCCAAAAATTCTGTAAAATTAACCATAGTTTTATAACATGATATAGAGCCCAGTGTATAAGTTTCAGATATTTGTGACTATGGGAAGTATTTTTTATATATTTCATTATTAATTAATCAATAAAATCATAAATAATAGTAAACAGTAATATAAATGCATGAAACTTCATAAATCATGTTTAATCAATATATAGGTCATCCCAGAATTTTCTCAGAATTTATTGAAGGCAAAAAGTATTTTATGTGAATTATTGCCCTACTTTATTGAAATAATTATAGTAATTCAATAAAAATAAGTTATTTTCTGAAAATTTCCAGAACTTCTTATTTTATTGATGGTATTCTGAGAAAAATCAGGTTTATGCATAAAATGAGTTTTAGATATTTTGGTGGATTTAGTTTGTTTCTTGTATGAATTTGAAACTTTTAACAACATACCTTGATGAATGCTTCAAGAGGGATGAAGATTTGAGTATAATAGATTGTTCTTGGATGGAATATGAGTATTTCTTGGAGGAAATTTCGAGATTGAGAGTGAGAGAAAGAATAGAGAAGGTTTAAGTGGTGAAGAGAATAATGTGTTGGGAGAAAAAGGAAGGAAAGTGGATGGGAGGTGTGAGTGGGAGACCATGAGAATAATCTTTTTGCTTTTGGTGGTCTTCATAATTTCCCACTAACACAAGCATCTTTTACATAATTAATATAAGAGTTTTATAAAATTTAAAGTAACGTTTATAAAAATAGAGTTTTATAAAATTTAATGTAAAGTTTATAAAAATGGAGTTTTATAAAATATAGGTTATCATTTGATTATAACAATCTACTTTGATTTGAAGTTTAATTATGACATTCAAGTTTGATTCTTTTAATTTAATTAGAGCATTATACTTTGATTTGATTTTAATATGGTATCATAATTTAATTTGATTATAGTTATAACGTTGTACTATACTATGTTGCTATTAACGTCAATTTATATCGTAGTGTATGGGTTTTGATCCTATTAGCGTCAAGTAATCTTGAGTAGGGTTTATTAAATTTCCAATTGGGTTGGGTTGACCCGAATCCATTTTAGGCGGATGTCACATACTACTCATCACATTATGACCTTAATAAAACAAACATGTTTTAAGGTAATCAGTACTTCAAGATGTCAATTTAAAAGACAACTGTGTACTTACATTTTCCCATTACTTTCAGATTGTGACAGTTCCACTTGAAAGTTAATGTAAACTATTTTCGAGTTAAGATAGTTATAAACTAGGGAAAACTTACATCTTTTCAAACGACAAACAGAACAGTCGAGTCGAGTACATTCAGTAGGAAGGGGCCTATAATACTAACTTTATGATTCCTTAGTTTATACATCAGGGATATATATTAATAGGATCCGACAAGTAGTAGGATGTGTGCTTTCCGCTTCATTTCCTGTTCCTTGTTTGGTTGTGGGCTTAGAGCAGATTCACCCAACCTACTATCTATCCGATCTTAGCTATATATACATATATATATATATATATATATATATATATATATATATATATTCCGTATACACCAAGTAATCATAAGGAGTACCAGGTATAGGTCAGGTCACACAGTATACTATTTCAATACACCGTTTTCTAGTACAAAACATACTTTTCAAATATAGCATTTGGTAGACAAAACTAGAAACTTACCAGTGAAAGGGTTTAATCCATTTTATTAAACCAGTATAACTTAAAGGACCTTAAGTGGTTAATTCTATAATACCTTAGTTTATACATCAGGGTTATATATAATTAATACCCGATAGGTAGTTGGATGTGTGCTTTCCGCCTTACTTCCTGTTCCTTGTTTGGTTATGGGCTTAGGGCATATTCACACAACTAACTATCTATTCGATATTAGATTATATATAACTAGTATAAACTAAGTGATTATAGAAGGAACCATTGTGGTTACCATTTTTACTAAAAGAAATAAGGGTTTTCTTAAGGAATGTTTTCATCAAATATAAAGGAACTATTACAGTTAACTCCGTGAGTACCAGGTGAATACGCCAGGGTTATATACAACGATGATCTAACAAACAATGGGATGTGTGCCTTCCGCCTCATTCCCTGCTCCTTGTTTGGTTGTGGGCTTAGGGCAGATACACACAATCGATTATTTGTTTACTCTGGGTTTTATATAACTTGTATCCATTTAGTACTCATAGAAAGGATTGTAGAGTCATTTTTACTTACCTTTCATCAAAGTAGGAAATATAGGATTTTCTGGAAGAACATGCGAACTTTTCTAAAAGAACTTACAACTTACTTACAACTTCTTACGACTTACCTTACATCACTAAAATCTTATGAACTCACCAGCTTAAATGCTGATCTACTCTTTCAAAATAACTTGTATTCCCAGGTAACTAGTAGACATGCATGTGTAGTCTATGTTATTGAAATGGTTGTTTATTACTTTGATTACTATGATGCATGTCTTGTGATACTAAACATGACGTCCTCCACCCCCGAACATTTCCGCCGTTCCGGTTTTGGGGTATGACGGTATGTCAGACTCGTACTGAGGGCTTGATGGTATTTCAGTCCGAGGACTGATCTGGTCAGGGAGCAAGCCATACATAGGCCGTGGGACCCGAGGGCAAGCCATACTTATGTTGTGGGCTCATGGGTAATCCAATCTTTTAGTTATGGACCCATTGCATGTTGTTATTGTATATGTTATTTGGTTATGTGATGGTACTTTAGGGGAACTCACTAAGCGTTAGTTTCAGATTATGTTTCAGGTACTCCGGATGACCGCGGTAAGGCGAAGGCGTGGCCGTACACATCCTCTGTTTATGATATATGATTTTGGGAAAACTCTGATGTCGGAAATGTTTTGAAAACTATTTTGTAAACACTTTATGGTTTTTGGTTGTGTTTAGAAAGTTTAAATTTATCATGATTTTTATCGGTGTTACAACATACATGTTGTGCCGCTTTGGATCATGTTGCACCACTCTGGTAGATGTTATGCCAAAGTGGAAGAAGTTGCACCGGCCTTGGAGATCTTGCGCCACCTTGGAAGGAAGATGTGCAACTTAGAAGGAAGTTGCTCCATGCTTGAAGGATGTTGCGCCATCCTTGCACAAGATGGGCCATCATCATGCAAGATGTGCCATTTTGGTGCAAAGTGTGTCATTTTGGTTCCTTGATGTGCCATGGTATCCCTGAGGAGCCACACATGCTTAGAAGTTGGTGATGCTCGAGGAATGCACCATGCTGTGCCACAATGATGGATGTTGGGCCACTAGTGTTCATGATGTGCTACATATACATCATGATGCCCCATTATGTCTCATGGTGCTCCATCATGTGCGTTGTTGATGTTCATGTGTTGCATGTCATGGATGGATGTTCCAGAAGCTACTGCATGGCAGATTGTGATTGGTTGACACCATTCATGGGCCTATGACCTAATAGGCTTGGCCCATTAGGGTTTTAGGTATGATCTCTTTAGTATAAATAGGGATGGATGCTAAGTCATTTGAAATGTCTTGAATTCTAGAGTGATAGACGAATCTCTGTGAATTGTACTTGTAACCTCTGTTTTGAGAACTTTGAAATAAAAAATACCCCCTCCTGCTCGTGGATGTATGTCACCTTGACCGAACCACATATATACGGTGTCTTGTGTGCTTTTGATTTTGCTTGTTTTCCGCTTTACTTCCTAACAAGTGGTATTAGAGTTTGACAAGTGGCATCGGATTTTGTTACGAGTCTTGTGTGCTTTTGGTTTTGCTTGTTTTCCGCTTTACTTTCTAACAAGTGGTATTAGAGCTTGACAGGTGATATTAGATTTTGTTATGAGTCTTGACAAATATCGTCTAATTCCTAACACTTGGTCTAGAAGTGCAATATGATATCACAAAATACATAAAAACTTTGTACCATATTCTATGTAAGGTTGCATATTTCTACATTATGGTTGAATGCTATTGACAAAATTGTTTTGCTAGATTATATGGATTAAGAAAATCAATGCTAATGACTTTCAATTGTTTAACATAATCTAATAATAAAAACTCTGCATGACATCTAAAACATGCAATACTTTATTGGGTTTTTATGCTACTTTGTGATCTAGTTTTATATAGGGTTTGTGATGATCTTTTGATTCAAATGTTATGTGTTTCCCGACCTTGATGGTCATTAAAAAAAAATCTAAGTAATATTTTACAGTGAATAACAATAAAACAGAAACCCATCAAGGAGACTAAAATTTAAATTTAAGTAAGCTCAAAATGCAATAGGGAAGGATTAAGGAAGGAATTGAATTTTCTTCTTCCTTGACCAAATCGTTCTTATCATCGAAGACAAACCCTATACCTCGCTATAACACTAACTCATCGAAGCAGACGCTACAGTTCGCATATCTGGTCATCGCCCTATCATCGGTCGTTGCTCTGCTTTATCTTTGTCATTCATTGAATCAGGTAACGCCCTCATCTTCTTCTTCGTTGAATCAGTCGTATCTATTTCGATGTTCAAAATCTACATAGATTAACGATTAAACCCTAGTTTCATATACACTTTGCTGATTTAGAGCGAATTATGATTTTTTTTTTCTACTTTGTAACCCTAGTTTATCGAAGATTAGAGTTGATCTTGAATTCTATCAGCTTTCCAGTCTTGATAATCATTCAATAAAAGTTCAAACTGCTCCGACCGATCACTTGGTCCCAACTGGATCTTGGTTTCGTCTGATTTTATGTGCAATAGAACCCCATCCGTTTTCACATATTATGTTTTAAATTTTTTTTGACTAATCTAATCTTAAAGTGATATCGAATGTTATAAAGTTTTATATCCCCACAATTCACAAGAACAACATGCGCTTTGATCTCCGTTGACTAATTTTGAAGTGATTTCAAATGCTTTACGAATTAGAAAACTTGGATAAATGAGCTCTTTTGCATCTGTAGCTATCAAATTCTTCACTAGATATTCTTAACTTGTAAGCAATTATGGAATTAGACTGGAGATTCAGATGGTGTTCTGTTTTCACTTGTTGATATTTTGATAGATGGAAGTGAAGCTATGGAATGATAAACGTGAGAGAGAAATGTATGAAAATTTTGCTGAACTTTATGCAATAATCAAAGCCACAGAAAAACTGGAAAAAGCATACGTTCGTGATATAATCCCATCATCTGATTATGAAACAGAATGTCAAAAACTAATTGCACATTTCAAAACCCTTTCATCAAACCTAAAAGATACAGTCCCCAGTATCGAAAGATTCCATGACACATACAAAATGGACTGCCCTGCCGCCATGAACCGCCTGATAACCTCCGGCGTCCCCGCCACGGTGGAGCACAGGGCGGCAGCCTCCGCCTCCGGTGGAAGCTCAGCTGCGATTGTGGCGGAATGTGTTGCGAATTTCATCACTGCAATGGATACTTTGAAGCTGAACATGGTGGCTGTTGACCAAGTTTTTCCTTTGCTTTCTGATTTGTTGGGTTCGTTGAACAAAATGTCGATTTTGCCCCCGGATTTTGAAGGGAAGACTAAGATGAAGGAGTGGATTGGGAGGTTGGCAAAAATGGGGGCGGCTGATGAGTTGACTGAACAGCAGTCAAGGCAACTGCAGTTTGACTTGGATTCTTCTTATAATTCTTTCATGGCTGCATTGCCTACTGATGGGAATTGAGTAAGTTTTTAAAATCTTTGGTTTTTTTATTCTATCTGGTGGTTTTAAATTTATCATCTTTTTACCAATATAGGCAATGTACTTTTTTGTTTTTTAAAACCATGATAAAGTATAAGTATGCTGTCTATATTGGTAAAAAGAGTATAGCACATTGCTATTCCATGCAATTTACACTTTTAATATCAACACAGATAATTTATTTGTCACAATGTATAATTAGAATTATCACAATTTTGTCATGGAATAGGTTCATTTGGTGTTAATGCATGAAGTGTAGCATGAATTTGGATGGCTTGGGATTAGAAGCTTGATTTAGTTGTTGTGTTTGTAAGTATTCTTTTAGTATACATAGAACCATATAACATGTGCTTGTTTTGCTGCTTTCTTATGTTTGTACAAGGGTGGTTTTGTTTGTAAGGCAAGATGACTTACAATTTTTTGTAAATTGTTGAAGTTTTAAAACATTGTTTGATGTTGAATTTGTTAATGGTAAATTTACAATTTAATCAGCAGGGAGTAACCTTTGATTTGGTCCTAGATATAACCATGTTGACTATCATATATGATTTGGTACTTAGACTATCAAACAAACCCTTATACATTATGTCATTTCAGTTTATGTTTGACATACTAACAAAAAAGCTAGTGCTAACTTTTCATTAACATTAACAAGTTATCTTTTACAACTCTAGTAATGATTTATATAATACTTATGATAAGATAAAACGTACAACCTCAAATACAAATGTCATTAAGGAGTATATCTTTTATAAAAAATTATATTAATAGCATTAAAGTTTATCTTTTGCAAGAAAATTATATCAAAGAAGCGTAATAATGAAAAACAAATCGAGAGGCATAAAATTGCATCTAATTAGTATTATGATTTTTTTAGAGATGTTGAATGGGATGAATGGCACCATTGTTGTCTTTTTATACGTAGTTTATTTTTTAAAGCATGATACCAAAAATGGATAGAAATATAAATCCCAAAAATGCAGTAAAACAGGGGCAGTAATAAGTAAGAGTTAATCAACTTATAAAAAAAAAGTTATTTAAATCAACAATTATTTTTTAGTACAAGTTATTAAAAATAATTATTAACATTATAAAACCACAATAAATTAATAAACATTTTGAAACCCAAACATGCTTTCAAAGCCTATTCATGGACCATGGTATTTATTAAGAAATTGTCTTGAAAATAAAGTATATGTTATGATAGGTTTCACACTGAATTTGTATTTATAAAATCCTAATATGAAATATTTTGTATTCTTCTCATACGTTGTTAAATAAACATAAATTTTTTTTTTATCCAAAATACATGTCTACCAAATCACAAACGATCTTAACCTACAAACAAAAAATATATCAATTAGCCACAAAAAATGATATCAATTAGCCGATTCTGAATTAGTCTCATATGTCTTTAGTTATCCGTGGTCATCATGATGATTTTGTTTATTTTATTATTATTACTTTTTGTTTAAAATGTTTTCTTACTAATTATACTAGTTTGCATCTACAACAAATATGATTATTGTTTAAGAAGTAAAAGTTGATTCTACAATTGACGTATTATCAAGCTATAATAGGTACAATGCTAACAATATTTTGCGAACAAATTTGAATACACGGTATGACAATATTACAAAGGTTTATTGTCATTGTAGCCCAACAAACTTTAGTATATTGGTTTAAATGGTCGTTCGTGACTATTTTTTGACACGAACTTGTATTTTACCGGTTAATTTGGTACCTTTACCCATTTTTTTGAAAGTTAATGTGCCTTATCAACCGCCAACTAGGCAGGTGAGTCAACAATGACTCAGTGGTGAGTCGACTCATCGTTGCCACGTAAGCCAAAACCTAATTGCCACAAAGATAAAACTAATCCATCAGTTTACATCGGGACGTGAGGGCTTACTAACAGTAACAATGGAGCTTATTCTTCGTCATTAACGCCATGTACTTCTCCTACGTTCTAATTCCAAAACCAAAATCCTGGAAAGTGTAGGTGAGATTTCCGATGTGGTGGTGGGTGTAAACATAGAGAAGGGGGGGTGGCGGAGAAGACAACGGTGGAATCAACATTAGGGTTATTGCTCTAGATTTCGGTATTCATAGACTTTGTTCTTCTTCCCTTTAAGCATATTACTTACAGATTGATTAAGTAAAGGAAGTTTGTGTAATGTGATTGATGGTTGAAGAAATGTCATGGCTCGATCTTCGAGCTCGATATCACCATGGATTTGAGCAGAATTCATCAGTGATTCCCATATTTCACATGTAGGTTCAAAAGGAATGTTTTCGATGAACTCAAAAGCTTCGTTTAGATGCCCAGATTTCCCCAAAACATCAATAACCCCTAAATAATGATCAATTTCTGGATCTAGATTGTAGTCGTTCTTTATTGATTTGAAGTGTTTGAAGCATTCTTGAATTGAATTAATACTGGCACATGCTGAAATAAGTAATCAGGAAGTCTCCTTGTTTGGAGTTAACCCCAACTTTTTCATCTGGTCTGGTCGTATAAAACCAAACCTGCATCGGGTTCCCCGTTATATGTGTAGCCCTTTATCATTGAATGTCATAAGCTTAAGTCGTCTCGTTCACGCATTCTGTCGAACACCCTGCGTGCATCCCTCATGCTGTTTCATTTTATGTACAGTACTATCAATTTAGAGTTCAAATTCACAAAACCGTAGTAGGGAGATCGAATAAGAAGCTGTTGAACCTTCTTCCCCAATTCAAGATCGTCACACGAATCCAAAACAAGCTCAAAAACATCGGATCCTACGGGCACACCTTGAGACATTAACTCAATCGTTTCTTTAACCGACCCATTTTTGCATAGCCCCATTAAATCCACATCCGGTGGCGGAGATGGGTTGGTGCGTTTTCGTGTTTTGGGAAGAGTTGGTGGTTTTGTGGATGTGTTGAGTCGACGATTGGTGTTCGACTCTACCTGAGTCAACATCAGGGTCACCGCCGGAGCCGAAGAAAACAACGATGGAGCCGGAGAAGACAACATCGAAGCAGGTGAAGATGAAAGACGGTAAGGGATTTGATTGGATTCGGATTCTAAAGAAGCATTACATTAGGTGTTACACGTGGCAATTGAGTTGACATCTAAACCTGCTGATTAGGATGGGTGTCACCGGGTGGCCCCTTCAAATTTTCCAAAATGACCTTTTAAAACCTAAAAATACAAGTTCGTGTTCTTCAAATGCAAAAAATAGTCACGAGGGACCATCTAAACAAATATACTAAAGTTTGTTGGGCTACAATGACAATAACCCTATTACAAAACTTAAAACAATCATATCTCAGATCCTATCTTAACAATATTGAAATTTATATACAAAATTATTTTACAAATATATTTCCAACGTAAAACAAAAGATTATCGAAACCGGAGAATCCCAATTCGACCATAAATCAAAAAATTATAAGACCATAGATCCCATTTGGATTTTGTATATGAAAATTGAAAAATATTTTCATAACTCGATTTATATATGGAAAATATTTTCGATAATACTTCCAATTTCCAACGGTAAAACAAAATATTTGACGACTGCAGATGACGACGCCGGTGAAGGTTCAAGAAAGAATACCCTGGTGAGATACCGAGAGCAGCCACACTGTTAAACCTTACAAAATTCTTATATAACTTTCCGACGACAATCAGACTCCGGCGCTCTGTGACTGTCGACGGGAGCAAAAACCTAATTTCGAGTCAATGGCCTGTGTGTATATTCCGGTACAGAACTCGGAGGAGGAGGTACGAGTGGCTCTGGACCAACTTCCTAGAGACGCAACTGACATCCTTGACATTCTTAAGGCGGAACAAGCGCCTCTCGATCTCTGGCTCATTATCGCGGTTAGTTTCGTTCCTAAGTATTACCTAATAGATTTAGTTGCCGCTTAAAATTTTGAGTTTTATGAACGATTACAACTTTGCTTGAGATATATCGTGTTTATCTCAATTTTGTGCAATTTACTGAATCCCAATGACGATGATTCAAGACTATTTGATGTTTCGATCAAGGGCTATGCGATTATGGACCTTGTGGGAAAACCTGGTCTCTCCTTTTCGTGATTTAGGTCAAACTTTTTGTTAAATTTGGGTTTGATGCAGAGGGAGTACTTTAAACAAGGAAAAGTTGAGCAGTTTCGCCAAATTCTTGAAGAAGGGTCCAGTCCAGGTAAGTGCTGATTAGCATCAACAAACTTATTTAGTATCAAATGAATTGTTACTCTAAACATAAATTTGATATTCTTTTTGGCTCCATTAACCTGTTTGCTTTACAGAAATCGACGAATATTATGCAGACGTGAGATATGAAAGAATTGCCATCTTAAATGCCCTTGGTGCCTATTTTAGCTACCTAGGAAAAATCGAGACAAAACAAAAAGAAAAAGAAGATCATTTCATTTTGGCTACAAAATACTACAACAAAGCCTCCAGAATCGATATGCATGAACCTTCTACTTGGGTTGGTAAAGGTAAGCCTAATCAGATTTTACAGGTCAACTTTTACACATGCACTAGATCCCATAAGAACTTAAAACACACACTTGGTTACAGGTCAGCTTTTACTAGCTAAAGGAGATGTGGATCAGGCTTTTTCTGCATTCAAGATTGTGTTAGATGGAGACCGAGATAATGTTCCTGCCCTTCTTGGCCATGTATACTCCTATTATAATGTTCTTTATGCTGCTTATGAACCATATACATTTGTTTTTTGGTAGTTTAACTGATAACATATCTTTGGTTAATTTAGGCTTGTGTTGAGTTCAACCGTGGGAAATACTCAAATTCATTGGAGATTTACAAGGTTCTTTTCCATTGCAACTCTGTATCTGCTTTCTGCTTTATTGCTAGTATCTGCTATCACTGTTTCTGTATCCATACAGTATTTACTTGCCCTTTATTCTAATTTTTCATTTTCTTTTGAAAGAGGGTCTTGCAAGTATACCCTGAATGTCCTGCAGCTGTTCGACTTGGCATAGGTCTCTGTCGATACAAATTAGGTCAATTTGAGAGGGCAAAGCAAGCATTTGAACGTGTGTTGCAGGCAAGTCATATGCTAACTACTTTTTGTATAGTTTTTGTACTTTCTGAAACTGTGGTTGCTACTTTGCTAATGTCTATATGTGTCCATTGTTCAACTACTTATAACTGCAGTTAGATCCAGAAAATGTTGAGGCCCTTGTGGCACTTGGAATTGTGGATTTGCAATCAAATGAAGGTTGGTTTTATCTTGTTGATATAGTAAAATGTATGTTTTTATGACTCTTATTGATATTGTAATGTTGTTTTATTAGCTTCTGGTATTAGGGGAGCAATGGAAAAGATGCAAAGAGCCTTTGATGTCTATCCATACTGTGCAACTGCTCTAAATTATCTGGCAAATCATTTCTTCTTCACTGGCCAACATTTTCTGGTTGAGCAATTGACTGAAACAGCCCTTGCTGCAACTTCTCATGGCTCAACAAGAGCACATTCCTATTATAACCTTGCACGTTCATATCATAGCAAGGTTTGGACTTTTGTTCATATATTGTTTTACATTTAAATGATGTTTGTACATGGTGTAGCAATGCATTTTTGATATGTTAATGCAGGGTGATTATGAAAAGGCTGGATTGTACTACATGGCATCTGTAAAAGAAGTGAATAAGCCTCAAGAGTTCATTTTACCTTTCTATGGTTTGGGACAAGTGCAACTGAAATTGGGAGACTTTAAAAGCTCTCTTTCAAATTTTGAAAAAGTCTTGGAAGTTTATCCCGAGAATTGTGAGACATTGAAGGTGAGTTGCATATAATATGAGCAAATTTGCTTTAAACTCTACATGTTTTTTAACATCCTAGTGACTGAATTTGTACTTGTTATATGCACAGGCTGTTGCTCACATCTATCTTCAGCTCAACCAACCTACCAAGGCTCATGAAGCTCTGAAAAAAGCTGTCAGAATTGATCCACGTGATCCTGAGGTTATGTTTAATTACTGTTATGAGATGAAACTGTTGTGTCCTAGATTGATGAATCACAAAATTCGGTGGAATAGTACCCTAAAACAATATGAACACAGATGATTCCTTTTCAATGTAATTTCATTAAAGCTGTTTTTTTTTTCTATTCTAATATCTTAAAACAATGGTGCAGGCTTTTCTTGATCTTGGAGAATTGTTGATTTCAACGGACTCTGGAGCTGCTTTAGATGCATTTAAAACTGTAAGAAGTTGATGTCTCCTTTTTCTTAGATCATTTTCAGTGTTCATTTCTCTGCTGCATCTTTTTAGCTTGACTTTTTATGATAGGCACGAAATCTTTTAAAAAAGGCAAATGAAGAAGTATCAATTGAGCTTCTCAACAATATTGGTGTCATTCATTTTGAAAGAGGAGAATTCGAGGTTTGCTTCTTTCACCATATATATTTGGTGGATTTAAAAATCAGTTTATATGGTTTCATTCAAACATCTTTTATACATAATGTTTGAATTCAGCTTGCTCAACAAACTTTTAAGGAGGCTCTTGGTGATGGAATATGGGTGAAGCTAATAGATAGTGAAGCACAATCTGATTCTTTCAGAAAGGTGTTACATCAACCAATGGATGCCAGTTTAGCTGCTCGAATGTACAAAGACATGCAATTGTTTCATAATCTTGAGAAAAATGGTATTTCAGTGGAATTACCATGGGACAAAATTACAACATTGTCCAACCTTGCTAGACTGTTTGAACAGTTGCATAAAACAGAAACTGCTAGCATTTTATATCGTCTCATCTTGTTCAAGGTAATACATTTACATTTTTATATCTATATCGAGTGTGTTAAATTTTTACATGTTTATGTAAATTCTTTTTTTTTTCTTTTCTCTCAGTTTCCAGAGTATGTAGATGCTTACTTAAGGCTTGCTGCTATTGCAAAAGCACGAAATAATGTCCCACTCAGCATTGAATTGGTTCTTACTTCTTAATCTCTTCTTGACATCGTTTTTTTACATTTTATTATCTTTTATACGCCTTCGTTTTGTTTTTTAATGTAAAAAAACATGATGTTTTTGAATTGTAGATTCGTGATGCTTTGGAGGTGGATGACAAAAACCCAGATGCATTGTGTATGTTAGGTGACTTAGAGCTTAAAAATGATGATTGGGTCAAGGCAAAAGACACCTTTCGTGCAGCTAAAGACGCATCTAATGGAAAAGATTCTTATGCTACTCTTTGTCTGGTAAAATAACATGTTCCAAAAATCAGAAATATTGTAAATGTGATTTTAGTACTGTATTTATAAATTCTATTGAATATAGGGGAACTGGAATTACTTTGCAGCAGTAAGATCTGAGAAAAGAGCTCCTAAGTTGGAAGCTACACATTTAGAAAAAGCCAAGGAGTTGTACACAAAGGTATATGATGAAAGCATACTTCTTTAATTTTCATAAATATAATTATTTTCTACCTTTTTTATTTTTCAGGTTTTGGTAGAGCATCCAGCTAATATGTATGCTGCAAATGGTGCTGGTGTGGTGTTGGCTGAAAAAGGTCAATTTGATATTGCAAAGGAACTCTTTACACAGGTTATCAAATCTGTTTTTTGATTCTTGTTGAATTAAAACCTCAAAACAGGTCATTATTTAATTATTTATGATTTTCTTAATTTCTTCAAATCAGGTTCAAGAAGCTGCAAGTGGAAGTGTTTTTGTCCAGATGCCAGATGTATGGATAAATTTAGCACATGTTCATTTCGCTCAAGGCAATTTCCCATTAGCCATTAAAATGGTATCAAACACTTGTCCCCATATTATCTTTTTCACTTTTATGATCTGAAGAACTTGTTTTATAAAATTTTAATATTGTTTTAAACTTTTGTTGCAGTATCAAAATTGTTTACGGAAATTTTACTACAACACAGACAGTCAAATCCTTCTGTATTTAGCGCGAACACATTATGAAGCTGAACAATGGCAGGATTGTAAAAAGACATTACTCAAAGCCATTCACTTGGCACCTTCAAATTACACATTAAGATTCGACACAGGTGTTACCTTACAAAAGTTTTCAGCATCTACATTACAAAAGACAAAAAGGACTGTTGATGAGGTGAGTAGGTGACTTTATATAATAATCTCTAATTCTTTATATGATAAATAATAAATTTTTTTGATTCTTTTAGGTGAGAGCAACGGTTGCTGAGCTGAAAAATGCAGTTCGGTTATTCAGTCAGTTATCAGCAGCTTCAAATTTACAGATTCATGGGTTTGATGAGAAGAAAATTGAAACACATGTTGGATACTGTAAGCATTTGCTTGAGGCTGCAAAAGTGCATTGTGATGCTGCTGAGCTGGAAGATCAACAAAATAGACATAGACTAGAACTTGCTAGACAAGCAGCCATACGTGAGGAAGAGAGTCGATTAGCTGAAGAGCAGAAGAAAGTGAAGGTCAGCTAAATTTAATTATTTTATTTTGAAGTCATCAATTATTGTTTTTTTGTATTTATGTTGTGTGTTGGAAAGCAGTTGGAAAAAAGGAAACAAGAGGATGAGCTGAAAAAGGTGATGCAACAGGAACAGCATTTAGAGCGTATTAAGGTAAGTTGTTGGCTACAATCTTCACCACATAAAGCTAGTCTAGGTTTTTAAAAAGGTAGTTAACTACAGGAACATTGGAAGAGTAGCAGTGGGTCTAAGAGAAAAGATAGAGGTCAAGAGGATGAGGAGGGTGGACAAGGTGGCGAAAGGAGAAGAAGAAAGAGTAGCAACAAAAAGAGAAAGAGAGACAAGAAGCCCATGGATGATGATCAACAAGATTATGAAGAAACAAACTACTACCAACCAGACAATCAAACAAACGATAATGATAATGATAATCCACAAGATCTTCTCGCAGCTGCTGGCCTTGAAGACTCCGATGCAGATGATGACGCAGTAATCTCCCCCCCTCTCTCTCTCTCTCTCTCACACACACACACACAGAGTGACATTTTTTTTTTCTGATATTTGTTTTGTTTTGTTATATTAGGGTGGTGCACCTTCATCAAATACAGGAAGAAGAATACGGGGGTGGCCAGAATCTGAAGAGGATGAGCCGGGAAAGAGGCAACCTAGTTCCAGTCCAGTTAGAGACAACTCTGCTGAGATGCAACTAAGTGATGGAGAATAAATAGTCAAAGATGGAGATAGGTCAGTTTCTCAGTATCTTTCTTTTTAATTAACTTGAAAAATTGTATAATTATTTACTACTACAAATTACTTTAGTTTTGTACATTATATTTGGTAATTCCATCATATATTATTCATATATGCGTGAAGGAAGGTACTCTGAACTCTGAACCTGAAAAAGGGATTTAAGGTAGTGTAGTTGAGTTGAGTTGAGTTGAGTTGAGTTGGATTGGATTGGATTGGATGATCAGTTGTGGGGTTTCTTTAAAAGAAAGACTGATACTTGTTGATTTTTATTAATGAATAATAATAATAAATCCCCCTGTTGGTTTGGTGGTACATTGAATATGCTGCCTGTCTTTGGACTGGTGTGCAGATGCAGGTGTATTATTATAGTCCTTTTGCATTTATTATCATATCAGGTCATGGTCAAATTTGGACCACGTATTTTACCTTGCTTTCAGCACAATATGTCCAGAACACAACAGGTTATACTGCGATATATGATATGAGTGATACAAAAATTAGTAAAATTGAGAGAGGAAATGGTAAAAGTTAGGGGGGAGGGGGAATCTTAATCTGAATTTGAAGTGTGATATTATATATGCTTAAGAAGCCCATGCCTACACGTATAACAGAATATTATTGTCCAGTGAATGAAAGATACTTTTGTCAGAGACTGACTTGACCGGAAGCATCAAAATGTTGTATCACGTGCATCAAAGTTAGTAGACTTGTACCAAACCGCTCTTTCTGCAACCATGTGGTGTGGTGTGGTTATTCCAAATTCAGCCCCTCGACTATGGAGGTGATCAATACAGCCCCCCCTCCCATAGAATTTAGAAACGATGTCGTGGTGGACATAAATGTTTTGAGGTAGGATCAGATCCCCCATTTGGATCTAAAGTTAAAAATAAAAAAGCAAGGGCAGGGGTAGGGGGTGGATGTCAGTTTTTTAGTGAGTGATATCTGACAGAAGGGTGGTGTCAGGGGTCCCACAGATCAGTCGCTATGTGTGTTGAGTTTTTTCAGAGCAGAGTATAGCAGTGCAGAGTGCAGAGTGTTGGTTGGTTTGAATAAAAAGTACAGTACAAGTGTTTAAAGCTGGGTGATAAATGAAGATTCTCCTAACACACACACACACACACAGAGAAGAATTATTATTATTATTAGCGATCAGATTTTTCTGTCACACGCGTGTGCCTTCTTTAAAGTTTCTGTCATATAACTCCCCTTCCTTTCCCTTCCCACCAAACATTCAAATTCACTCTTTGGTGGTGGAATGTGGTGTATGTTTCCTTTTTCTTTCTTTTTTTTCAGAAACTCAATAATTACATTTAAGAATATGTAAAGATCATATTCCAATTTAGAATAAAAAAACCAAGATCATATTACAATTTGCTCCCAAAACAGTGATTTGATTGATGCATATCCACTTGAAAAAGTTTTTAAACGTTTAGTTAATAAGGACAAACGTTTTTTGTTTATATGCTGTCAGTTTAAGCTTATTGGGAAAGGATGGAAGGTAGGACAATAATTACGAAAAATAAATAGAGAATAATATGGACATGATAGTAAAAGAAACCCATAATAATTTAACAAACACATTTCCCCATTGCTTTATAGAAATATATGGGTTGATTTAAAGAAACATTTAGTAGGTATGTATGAACCAGGAAGGTAGCTTTTAAATCGCGATGAATACTTTCTAATTTCTGTACCTTTTCAAGTATTTTTGTTAATTTATCAGAACGTGAAATTGTAACAATAGTAATCCAGAATAATCGTTTTTAAAAGATTAGGACCCCGGATATTTATTTTTCAAATAAGTTCACATTCCAAGATTTCATATCTTGTGTACAATGATTTATTTGAGCTATTATTGATTTGATTTGTGGGAAGATGATATAAATGGAATAAGTTTATATGTTAAATTTATATATATGATTCTGAGGGTACTGTCCAAAGTAAGGATTAAAAAAATCATTTTTGTATATTGTTTTTCTTTTTTGTCCTATTGATGTGTTTTTTTTACCTTAGTTTCAGAGTGGAACAGAAGCAACCAGATAGAAAAACAAATAAAAAACCAAAAAGATGTTGAAGAAGATGTCAATCTACTTCTGCAAACATACAAAATATGCTGCAAAAATTTCAGAGTATTGATTGACCCCACATTATCAAAACAAGACAAAACCAACTAAAAAACTAATTAAATAAAAACACAGCAAAAGTTCTCATTACTTGACACTGTTTCAAGGTAACAACACACACACATCGAAAAGCTAACCAACTACTATTGTTAACACTTCTTTAGCCTCTATTCAACATTCCGTCACTTATTTATCTGCAAAATAACAAAAAAAAATAAAAATAAATAATAAATACATCACTAGCTATATCTTACCATCAAATTAAAAACGGTGAAATTACCATTATGGGTCAGGAAAAAGTCATGGGCAGAACTTGAAATCGAAATTGAGAGCTGAGTCGTGGAAGAATCTTGGTTATTTTCGTCATTTGGTGGCCATTCATCAAAAAAATGATGCATGACTTTCTGTGGTTCATCTTTTCTCCCAATTTTCAACCCCATTTGATGATTATAATAACTACCCTGATCTTGATGTTGTTCGTGTTGATATTGCAAGTATCCATTTTGATGATAATCAGAAAAACTCGTTTGCTGCTTTAAGTGAGCCAATGATGAGTTGGAATTGTTCATAGCAAGTGGTTCCAATTGCCACGAATCACTACTCTTGATTGTTCCTGAAGATTCCGAGAAAAATGAATGCTCATCTATCTCCTCTTTCATCCCCCCATAACTTTTTCTACATCCAAGAAAATGCATAACATAATAAGATAAAAGATGAGAAAGGCAAAAGTACAAGTGGTTAAAGCATGGTTCAAAAAAACACAAACAGAAACAAACCTGTATGGGTTAGATTCCAACAAGAAGTGATCTTGAGACGACAAAACATTACTCCCCATAGATCTAGAATAAGAAGAAAGTGGATGTGAATTGGGAGAAGGGTAGTTTGGGGATTTGGAAGAGATCATTGGAATAGGTGTTGGTGTTGGTGGTGTTTTGGAATTGGGATGAGTTGATAAGTTGACTTCCACAGGCTTTCTTGAACGGTTTCTGCCTCTATGCATGTGCCTTTCACAGTATTTGGAATCAGGATAAGCTTCTTTAGAACATCGCCATTTTTTACCATCTGTTCTTCTACATCTTCCTGGCTCTGGATCTATCTTTCTTCCAAAACCCATTTGAAAACAGTTCCATCCAACTGCAAATCCGATCAAAAAACCAAAAAAGATTCAATCTTTATGTTCATTCTTGATAATTACACACAAAAATCAAGAAACAGTAGAGAGAGAGGGAGAGAGAGATGTACTTGAAGGATGAGGTGGCTGGTGGTGGTGAAGGAGGAGCTTCGTAGAAGATTCGAGACTTTTCTTGATGGTGAAAAGAAGATCGGGAGGAATTGGCATACCGGAAATCATGTATTTGTAAACGAGTGCTTGGTGTTCGAGTTCTTGCCATTGACTTGCTGTGAATGGAAACCTGCCGCCATTGTTATTCCGTAGACTTCCACCACCACCACCACCTTCTGTACTCATCATCTTGAATCACTTAAATCTGTTCTTTGGATAACAAACATAAAATGAAAGATGAAAACCCTTGGATTTTGGATTTCTTGCTCTAAAAACCTCAAAAAGAGATGGAGAAATATAGGAGATGGGATGTGTTTGTGTGTGTTGTGCACTATATTATGACTGCAAAGACTGTTGCATCTGCTATGCTGCCTTTATGGCAGCTATTGTTTTTCTGACAAAATTTATACGGAAACCCATAATAATGAATTCTAGAGAGAGAAAGAAAGGAGAGAGAGAGAAGTGTAAGAGAGTTGGTATCTGAACGCACAGGGTGCCAGACAAAAGTGGCAGTGAGCATGATCATGAGAGTAGTTTGTACGGTTTTTTGCACACTTTTACTTTTACTTTTTTCATCTTTCTTTTTCTCTCTTTGTAAGATAAGATGTAACTGAGTTGGGAACTCGTTTTTTGACCTTTTTCTTGTTGTTGGTCAATGATGAGTCTCTTCTGAAAGTAGTCTTTAATCCCTATCTAAACCATATCCCAAATGGTCCATGATATGGGAGTACATTATATTTGTGACTAGTACGTTACAACCCATGAATGCTTTTAGGTTTTTTTTTGATAAAGTATTAAAGGTAGGGTGTTTGTTGTGTGATTTGTAGGCAAGAATGAGAGAAGATGTTACATTTAAAGGTGACACACAATAAGAGATTGAGTGAATAAGCATGCATGCCTCTTATCCGATTCGAAAAAAAAGTCTTTATGGGTTTATATAATTACGGCTTCTGGATTAACCAACTCATATTTGGTTTTACAAGCACCCTCACTTTACATTTTAATTTTAGTAAAGACCATATGAGGCCTTTGTCTTAATGACATGTTGATCTTGGTACTAATCAACTTGAAGTTGATGAAATGAAAAGTCTGTTGTCATCAAAATTTTCCATGAAGGGTATGGAGATCGTTGATGTGATCATTGGTATTAGGATTAAACGGTTTAACAAGGGTATTGATATGATGCAAAAAAACTATGTTGAAAAAAATCTCAAAAAGTTTAATTATAGTGATTTTTCTTCCGTGTGAGTACTTCAGGGACCCTAGTGTGGAGTTAATGTCAAATGAAGGCAAATCAATATCATCTCAAACAGTAGGTTGCTTGTTGTATGCCATGACAAGCACATACCTAACATCGTTTATGCAATTGGGAGCATGAGTAATAAGTCATAGAGAGAAAGTAAGTGTATAGAGTATGAGTATAGAGATTGAGATAGAGAGAGTGGAGGGAAAAGAAGAAGAATGAGTATAAAAAATGAATAGAGAAAATAAAAGAATAAAAGAGAAGGAGAATGTGTATATAGAGAGAAAGTAGAAAAAAATGTGAATAAGTATACAGAAGGTGAAGAATGACAACGAGATTGAGTATCTTGTGAAAGTCTAATAACAACTTAAGTAGTTATAAGTCCATTACTATTGTTATTAGAGTAATGGTTGTGTTGTGAATCTTTAGTTGATAAATGAGTTTTGAAAAAGTTATACACCGAAGAGTGGTGTATTCTTATATCATCATTGTTATGTGTATCATTGTTAATAATTACTCACTAAGCTCTTTGTAGCTTATCTTTTTTGTGATGTATGTTTTGCAAGTAAATTTTGTTTAAGCAAAGAAAGAAGAAGATAGATTGTGATACCTGGCTCAGATCATTGTATTTAATTTTCTTTAA